CGTTCCAGCTGTTCTCCTGGATGGGTGAGGAGCAGGGCCCGCGCTGTCTCTTGCAGGTTGAATTCCCCGAGGCGCGGATTTACGAGGAAACGCTGAACGTGTTGCTGTACGAGACGCCCCGCGTGCCGGACAACTCGCTGCTGGAGGCCACGAGCCGCAGCCGCAGCCAGGCCTCGCACAGCGAGGACGACGAGGGCTTCGAGCTGCGCGACCGCGTGCGCCGCATCCACGTCAAGAGATACAGCACCTACGACGACCGCCAGCTCGGCCACTAGCTGTGCCGTGTCCTGTGTCCCGTGTCCTGCAGCGGGGCTGCAGCTCGCGCCCTGTGCTCGGGCAGCAGGGAGGGATCCCCTGGACATCCATCCTCGCGGGGCGCCTCGGCCCCCTGGAAGAGCACGCGGGGATTTGCGTGCACAAAGCAGCGCTAAAGGCCGAGGCTCGGAGGACTGAGCTGTGAGTTGTGCACCTTGTGCTTTACCTGCAGGCTGGCCCCTCTTCCTGCTGGGGAGGGACACGAGGGACGCTGGTTCTCGGTTTGTGGTTGCTCTTTCCTGTCTCACCATGTGCCAGTTTCTCCCTTGCGGGAGCAGCACTGCCCTTCCTGAGTGAGGTGGGGTGGTTTGAAAAGCTCTTTCCTGCCAGCTCCCCTGTCAGGACCTTGTACAGTGGAACTTGCAGTTATTAAATCAAGATACTGAAGAGAGAACTTGAATGTGGCTGCCCTTGGCAGGCCCTACAGGGGATAACCCCCAGGAGAAACGTTTGGCTGGCCAGTCAGCTGCACCTGTGCTCTCCCAGCCCTGTCCCCAGAACAGCTGCACTGGCCTGTGTTCCAGGGTAGTGTCTTTAAAACCCATTGATTCCAGGGCAAGCTCTTCCAAGGTGGTAAGAATCAAGTCATCAGCCTCTCCGTGTGAAAAATGGAAGTCTCTGAAAATGTAAATGTGTGGTAATGACTTATCCTGGGAGAGGGGGAAATGGGTATGGTGAGGGAAGAAACCTGAAATAAGCCAACTTGAGCAGGTTGTGGCACTGCTGCCCTGGTTGAAGCTTGTCACTGTGAAATCCTGTTGATATAAACAAGAGCAATCTGGGGAATTGGTTTTACATTCTTTTCTTCCTGTAGCCTAAACATGCTGTTTGATGTTACATTTCTCAAGCAGCGGGGGAAGAATTGCAGTGGCTGGAGAAGAACAGGCTAAACAGTGTTTTGTAAGGCTAGAACATGTGAATTCAAGTTCTGTGTCCTGAATCTCTTCTAGAGGGTAGAAGTTGAAGAAGAAAAACAACTGTGAAAATACTGTTCTAGCATGGAACTGCGAGAGGCTTTGGGCACAGGAGAGAGGTGGCTTGTACTGGATTTTAAACTGAAATAATCGCTTTTATTACGAGTGCTTGGCTGGGTGCTGATCGTACAGGGCACTTCAGGAGGTGGGAGTCAAGTCTGCTCTGAAAATTTGTAAATATCTGGAATTTTTCTGGAAGCAGTTTCAAGTTCAGTATGAAAAGCCATTGTTGTATTTTTAAACCTTTGTATGTTTTAGCTGTAGGTAGCAGTTTTGCCACTGTCACGGTTATTCCTGCTGGCTGCCCACTGGGAGCCAGGGATATTTTGGGTGTATTCCACAGCTGCCTTTGTGTTCCCATGTCATACTGGGTCACAGAGCTCCAGATTCCACAACGGTCAGTCCTGGACTGCTTTGACCAGTGCCAAATCCACCTGTAAGTTCTAAATAAAGTTACTGCAAAAGAAAGTAATCCCAGCTTAATGCAGGGAGTTCGTCAGGAGAATTGAGGTGTAGATGGTTTTGGAGTAATAGAAGCAGGGGAGGGAGCAAAAGATTATCTGCACTCATTTAGGTTTTTGAAAACTAAAATGTTGTGGGTTAGTAAGAAAACACTAACAGACTTTCAGGGTTTTCTTGCCTCTACATGTGGCAGGATTCACTTCATTCTCCTCACATTCAGGAAGCAGCATTGCACAGGGATGCACCTGCCTTCTTGTGAAAGGCCTCTTGAAATCTAATAATCCTAACAACCTCTTTTGTGTTTCTTTCTGTAAGTTTTTGTTTTCCAGCTGGTTATTCTGTTGTGCCAGGGAAAATACAGCTGTTGAGATTTAGTTTCAACAGAGATTTCTGTGGTATTTCTCTCTAATTCTGCTAGAGTGTGATGTGGATTTTTAAATTTTTTTCCCTCCACTGATGCTATTTAATTAGAAGGCACCAGCAGAGGCTGCACTGATGGGGTCTTTGTGCTGCATTTAATAGCTTCAAGTTATTATCTTGTGCTTTTTCTGTCTTGTAACAAAGACTGATGCCATTTAAAAAACACATGGCGCTTCTGTTTCTTGGCAAATTATTTATATTATTTTTCTTCTTATTACTATCATAGTGAATGTTAACAGAGTAAGTAAGTGATGCTGATAGCCTTGAAAAACTGTGTTTAAATGAAGTTATAAGCAGAAAAATGTCATATTTGCTTTTATTTTTTCTGGGGAGGACAGGTGTGGGAAGGAGTGTGTGAAAGGGAATGTCAGATCCATGTGCTACTCCAGAGGCTTTCTGCACTCACAGGATCCATTAACAAAATGGATCCAACTTGTGAGTTGTTACACTGTTAGAAGCAGAGAAAAGCCTGTGTTTTGGTTTAGTTTTCCTTTCCCTATTTCCCACAGCCAACAAGTGGTATTAATTTGTGATTTGAATTTAGATTAATTAACCTGGGAAGCAAACAGTTTTGAGAACCATCTGGGCTGTGAGAATCTTCTACCACGTGCCAAGGATCTCCTTGGTGTTTGTGGAATGTGGAGTGTCAGTAGGAGCTGTCAGCAGTTGTGCACACGTTTGAAATACGTGCAGATACCCTTTTCATTTCACTGTAGGGTCTCCTGTTTGTCTGGAGCTGCTCCTGCATGCTGTGTCACTGAACCTCCCTTGCCCAAAGTCGTGCCCTGCTCCAGTCTCTGTCCCACCAGGTTCTGATCATTTCCAGGACTGGAGTTGAGATGTAACACGTGCTTTGTATTCTCACCTTAATCAGTCTTTATGTAATTGAAGGCTATTCATTACTGTGACAGGAATGTTCTGGACATTCTAAAGATGAGCTTACAGCCAGCGTAGTGCAGAAGCAGCAGTGAGCAGGATGACACAGTCTAAGGCAGCATTGGTGGGTTTGCAGTCAGCTTTCCAAGGATCTCTGCTCAAATTAAGCTCAAATTAAGCCCAGATTAAGACAATACAGGTTTGTAATTATATGTGTTTGCCTGCAAGTTGAGACTTGTGCTGGCTTCCATCCAGACCATCACCAGTGGCTGCATGAACGGTGTGCCCGGGAATTTGGAGTAGCCTTTGGGAGGAAAAAGAGCCTTTTTGCCCCACTTGCAGGGGGTGAACTGTAACCACAATAGCTGTCATTCTTACAGGGCTGCCAGAGCTCTTCACTCCTACACTTAGTCAAGGCTTTGTGCATTCAGGCAGGGCCTGGCAGACGCAGGGGGTGAGCGGAGCCTTTGGGTGCCGCCGTGCCAGCGCTGTGCCAAGGCCACGGGCTGTTTCCCAAGGGGAGTGCCCGGGCCCTGTGCAGGGGGGAGGCTCGGTGTCCGGGGCTGCTGGGCAGGAGCCCCAGGCCGAGTTCCTGGGGCAGCAGGCTCAGAGCAGAGAGCTCTGCGGGGCTCAGCTCTGCTCTGCTCAGTGCCCAAAGTCACTGCTTCGCCTGCACCCTGACGTTTTGTTTTTTGACCAGGAGACATTTATCCTGCTGCAGTGTTCCGCTCCAGTGACTTTTCTTTTGCACTTCTTGGTTAACATAGAAAATTAGTGATGGGCAGGGAGGGTGTTGGAGGGGCTGTGCTGTCCACGAGCTGTGTTTGAATGGGTGTTGCTTACTGTGGCTTGCTTTGATTTTGTTCTTCTCGAGGTTTTTCATTTCCAGGCAGAAATCTGGAGATAGACCTGAAGTGGATGGGTCTGCCCAGCAGCCCCTGCCTTGCAGGGTGAGGCTGTGTTCTGTGACAATCCTTGGCCCAGAACAGCCACCTTCCCCAGCTGTGGGGCAGGTGTGCTGCAGAGTCCTGTTCCAGCTCTTTCTGCAGCTGTGTCACTTCTCCTCATCCAGTGGAACCAGTGAGACCCTCCCTGCCTCACAGGGTGGCTGACACTTAATTTGTTCATTGAGAGTAAAGGATTCTTTTGGATTTCTATGATGTTTTATATCCAGAGGATAACAATTATGATTGCTGATCTTGCTTAAACTGACATTCTGGGATCAAGTTATTTTCTTAGAGATTCAGTCTTTGTTTTATTTTCATGTCTAACTTTTAAGGGTCAGTTTTACAGACAAAGTACGTAGTTAATGTGATAATTAATCAATTATCTGTTGATTAAAGTGTTTCACCAGTGCATTAAAAGAAAATAGAACACTAATTTTTAATAAAGTATAATATTTTGTCTTCTGTGATTTTTCTCCAACATCATAACTGTTTATTGGTAGTGTGGGTCTCTGCATCCCATCGAGGATTTGGGGCTGGAGCTCCCAGACCGGGGCCGGCAGCAGAGCAGGGGCTCCGTGTCCTGCCTGCTCCGTGTCCCGGTGTTCCTCTGGCCCTTGTCCCCTCTGGCCCCCTTGTCCCGCTGTCCCCCCACCCCGGTCCCCTCTATCCCTTGTCCCCCAGTCCCCCCTGTCCCCAGTCCCCCTGTCCCTTGTCCCGCTCTCCCCTGTCCCCCAGTCCCCTCTGTCCACCCTGTCCCTTGTCCCCCAGTCCCCCCTGTCCCCAGTCTC